TGGAAGCAGGGTTGATCCCTAAGGCATGTTTGATATATAAGTGGATATAAATGACCTCCTTTCTAAACCCAATCCTTAATCACCTTGAGACTAAGGCCGTGTGTGCATGTGTGTGTGTGTGCATGTGTGTGTGTGTGTGTGTATGTGTGTGTGTGTGTGTGTGTTTCAGTTTTTAAGTTAAGGATGACACAGAGCCAGGCCTAACTTCTAGAACCATTCTTTTCTTGTTGTTGTTAATGTGTTTTTAAGACATTAATGGGCCTTTATTTTGTTCATTTATTTATATGTGTGCTGAGAATTGAACCCAGTGCCTCACACATGCTAGGCAAGCGTTCTACCACTGAGCCAGAACCCATTTCCTCTAGAACCATTCTTACTAAGTGGACACCCACTTTGGCAGCAGGGCAGGATGAACAAGCAGCCACAGGATTGGCAGGCTGCTCCCCAGTCCATCCACCTGCTGGTTTTGCTCTCCTGCTGTTTACCGGGCTCCAAGTGCTAAGGCAGATGGCCCTGGCCCAGTTGGCTTACAGGGCCAACCTGTACCTGGATTATACGCCATCAGGAACTAGCAATTAGCACTTGAGGCTCACCTGGCTTTACCAGGCAAAGGTCATGTTTCCTTTTCCTGGTACAAAATCTGCAAAAGGCTAAAGTCAATCAGCTACATTTGTCAATGAGGAAGATTAAAACTAAGCCTTTTATTCCAGAAAAATTCCTTATACTTCTATCATGATGTAAATTTCCCAAAAGCAATCAGTATTATGGTTTCTGTAACATATTATCTAAAGTGATAGTCAAGATTCTAGAAGAAAGACAGAGTTGTTCAATTGTTTGTTAATTTTGACTGCTTCAAACTCATATAGATATATTCAATGCCATAATAAATGTTCCCAACCCTTTAGTTTGGGTTTCATTTAAGTAATCCAAACAGAGACATCTTATATCTAATTTTGAGAGAGCTCAAAATTCCCAAAGCCCCTTGTCTAAGGCCTCAGCTGGCAAATATGAATTTCTTGTTTAGGTTATATAAGTAGGAAATAAACCTGTAGAGTATATTTTTCTGCCCTAATTTATGTGTTGATATAGATTTAATCACTCTATCTATAAATGTATATAAAGGCATTTATCATAATTTTGTCATTAAGCAATTTTTTTAAACTAAATTCARATCACTACCCTAATCAAGTCAAAAAATTAACAATGCAGGTAGATTATAGTTCAACTTTGTGCATTAAAAAAATGAGGCTTTTGTAACGTTTAAAATAATCATTTTATCCCATTAAGGACTGAATTGTGTCCGTTAAAAGTTTACATATTGAAGTATCTCTAAATGTATTAGGGGACAGAGCCTTTAAAGAGGAAAATGAGTTAAATGAGGTAATTAGCACAGGCCCTGATGCAATATGAGGGTATAAGAAGACTGAATCAAAATACAGACAGGCACAGAGGGAAAGCCATGCATGGAGATACAGATAGAAATACAATTGAAGGAGAACACTATGAAGATTTTTGATTTTCATAAAATGTTTTCTTTATTGATTAACAAAAAAGACAAATAATTTAARCTAATAGATGCATTAAATATATTGTTCTAGAATTTTCAAGTTAGAAGGAAAAAAGTCACAGCAGCATTTTTTTTTTCTTTTAGGGGTAATGCAGTTGAGAATCTCACAGGGCCAATTACATAGCAATCGCCCCACAGAGACTTCATTGCTTAAAGATTTTTTTTTTTTATTTGTGGCTTTGGCTGGTATCCCTCAGAAGAGAGCAGAAAAAGTTTTTAAACCAACCATCTCTTCTATTATGAAGAAAGTTAAATACGAATTTGGATTTAACAAATACAAACATCCAAGAATTTTGTCCATGAAATAACTCCCAAAATTACAAAGTAAACTTTAAAGTGCCACCTTAAAAATATTTTCAAATAACATGGGATTATTATTAAACATTAGGAAGCAAAGTATTCTTAAGAAAGGGCGCCTTATGAGGAAAGAGGGAAACTAAAGGATATTTATGATATCTGAACATGCTCAAGCTCCATGTAAGAGTTGGCCACCGCAATCCAAAGCACTTAGAAATTGTTTCCAAATGGTAACATTAAAAACAAAGGGAGGGAAAGGAAATAAACAAAAACAAAAACCTGGCCCTTAATCATGAACATCCTGCCAGGCATTAAAAAAGGATTTATTTTATATCTACTGCAACTTAAGTTAAAAGTACAACTCAACCCGGTTCTCTGGAAAGTAATAATTTATAATGCAATCAYTGAGAGCATGAGCTCCAGAGCCAGTCTTCCTGGGTTCAATTCCCATTTCTCCCATTTCCTAACTATGTGATCTAGGACAAGCTGCTTAACCATTATGCATCCTAGTTTYCCCTCTCAAATGGAGATAACCAGAACCACGTCAGTGGGTTGTCATACTAAAGGAAATTTCTCCAAATAAATCCTTAGTGAATGAAATAACAATGTGCCATATGGTTATTGGTRGTAGAGCAATTCACACTAATCAAAATCAGAGCACAGAGAGTATAAAGTGACTGGTGAGGCTGGATTGGGGGAAAAAACAAACAAACAAACAAAAAAAAAACAATGAAAATTCCAGACTAGGTGACTTCTAAACATGTTCACAAATTTTGTTTACATACAATTTTGTGCATCAGCCTTAATGTTCCTGAATGTTCCTGAAATTCACATCTGCTGATCTGAGCGGGGCTCATATATAGTATTGGACCAGACAAGAAAGCAAACCATCCTTTAAGGTGTTGCCTGAAACAGCTGACCTTAGGGCCTATGGATGAAATAATCAGCACAGCTGATGGTTAAAGTCGTGGTTAAATGAACATTTAACAAATTCACCAGCCCAGAACATTATGGGCAAAYACTGTTGGCCAGCATACTGTGAACCACGGGGATTCTCAGTAGTGRTCTCTGTGACCACTCATCCAAAGATTCAATAGCACAGTATGAAAGACGCTGGACACTCTGACTAGACCTTGACTCCAGCACACACACTGTGCTCCCAACCACCCAGCACACCAGGGGCCTGCCTCCACCAGCCCTGCCCCCTCCATCACTGCTTCCACACCCCAGCTGAGACCCTGGCCAGCAGCTGATGTCCTGCTACTTTCGATTTAAAGTGCTGTGAAAGCTCTGGAGCCATTTCAACAATGTTATCTGGCCCTGACCGCCCTCTTAGGAAAATATATCACATTTTCATTCCACTTCCCTATCACCTCCTATTCCCTGTTCTTTTGTCTCTTCCAGAAATTGCTTATCGTGCTTAAGTAAACAAATATAAATAGGGTTTTTCTGACTAGTTGCAAAACTCTGGTGGTTAACAGTGCACATAGCATTTCTGATCCAATCTGTACTTATATACACCAGGATGTTCCTGAGAGATTTAGGCCAAAGTTGATTTCCCTCCCTGCTGTAAATGTGCTGAGTGTCCTTGGCCTATACTGGACATTCAATTTCTTCAGCATAAGTCTATTTTCTCAGCATTTCTCTTGGCCCTATCTAACTCTTTATAGGCAGATAGAATGGTTTTGTGTATAGTCACTGTTTATTTCCTTGGTACATTTTCTATCTACTGYGGGTATGCTGCCAAATGTTTAAAAGCTTTCTACTTTGAAGCACAAGGCAATAGAAAAAGATGGCAGATACACAAAACAAGTAAAACAGAAATACTTCTCTTAAACAAAAGCCGAATGTGGTTAAGCTCAAACTGAGTTTTTGAATTATACCAAAGCCAGGATGCAAAACCACACTGGCAAAAACATAAAGCCCTGTAAGTAGCAAGTTAATGAATCAGAAGAGCAAAGCAACATGTGCCTAGGAAAAAAGCACCCTGCAGTGTGGTCTCCACAGTATTAAACTGCAAGATAATACATTAAAGGGGTCCTATTTTCTAAATTTTGCTTAACCTTTTTTTTAGTCCAAACTATTAATCCAATGTATTGTTCTCTTTTATTTAGGGAACATCTGAAACRATACTTTTAAGACCTATTTCATTCTCTCCTACATGCTGACAAGAAGTAAGAACATCACAACAGTGGCTAAGTGGTATAAAGAATTATTCTCTATTGAGAATCAAGATCTTTTATATCAGCAATAAATCCACTTGCAGGTAGTCTCAGAATTATGATTCCCTAATTGGAAGAAGCTCAACACCTTCAAATAATTTTGTTTCTGAAAAATTATCCACCCAACTGACAAACTAATATATATTAATCGCAGACACAAGTCCATGTCAAGTTCTAAGGATCTCTATACACTGCTTGTTTTATGTTTCTGAAACATTTTACTGTCAGTGATTTATTTCAGGTCCATGTGGCCAGCCGTTTGTTTATTCTATTGCATACCATCTGTTTTTCKGTAGAGAGGTTTCAAGTTCTTYTCATTCCCTACCTCATATCCCACAGAAAACAATTTATGATAGACATAGATTTAAATCATTTGGATTCACGAGTTGGAAACTCGAGCTGCCCYTCCTTTATATTTGGCAAATGCTTTAATGGGATTAGCAAATTGTGTTATTAYGAGGTACTTATGGAGAGACGACACCTTTTTTTACAATGACAAATGATGTTAACAGTTTCATTTKGGGTGTTTAATAGCAGTACAGAAGATTTCTCTAACGTTACAGGAAATTGCTGTGATAGACCATAAAGTCCTATTGCAAACCCTGTTCATATCTTTTATTTCTGAGAGTCAATGGATATGCGTATCGGGACATAGCAGGGTCTACAGTGGGGAATAAAGATCAAGTTGCTTCACTTTTAAGGGGACATGACCCTTTGGGGCCACAGGCCTAAAAAACACCTGGTTCCTTTGTGTTGGTCTCATTTCCTAAACCCTACATTCGTGGCTTTGCTTGTCTAGATGCTTCTGAGAGAAGGCCATCCCCAGACTTCCCCACAGAAAAGTGTGTGCTACAGACTCCAGCTCGTCATCACCAATTGACTCCCATATTAGGGCTCACTTTGATTCAATCTGCAGAAGAGCCAATCATTCAGAGAACACAATTTCTTGTTGAAACTACACAGGCGATGTGTAAGGTGTTAATTACCATATTTACAAGAATCCTTGCTGCTTTCGTGGAGAGGAGGTATCTGATGACAGGGCCCAACAGCTGTCCACAGTTCATGGTTGACATCTGAAGGCTGAGAAACTTCYGTCTTGAGGTTTACTTGATTTTCACTAGTCCTCACCAAATCAGAATTAGATATATTTGAGGGGTAAGTGGCATCCTCGTGGATGCCTGATGGACTCGGTTTACTGAAAGTGTTAAGTGACATTTGTACTAAAGCTTCATGGACGAGGAGTGAATTTTCACGACAAAAACCCTCAGATGGATTAAGTTCCATTACCTGTGTAAAGAAATACAGAAAAAGTACTATAATTTATCCAGCAACTTAAACAAATGTAGTAAAGTGTTTATTTCTACTAGAATCTCACAATCAAGACCTCAATAAGAGTGAGATCAAGAAGAATATCACCATTTACTGTTTCCTCTCATTCCATTTAAATGAGCTAGAACCAAAGAATTCAATTCACTATCCACAATGTCTTTTATAACAAAGCTGCAGTGTCCTAGACTATTAAAGAGTCTCTATTTTAATCAAAGACAGAACATTTTAATTTTTACTAAATAAAAAATTGAAAACATATCCATATATACACAAGGAATTTGCAATAAATGTAATTTAGCAAACTTGAAAGAAAAATCAGATGCAACACAGTTCTCATTAGCTTTTACAACTCCATGCATTATCAATAAAAAGCATACATGCAACACATATAGCACAGAAAACTAAACTCCTGGGATGAATGGGATTGCCAAGCATTGTCAGAGAGGATGCAAAGAAAACACGTAATCTTCTGAAAGATTTCATCCTACTCAGACATAGCCTATGTCTTTAATTAGCTTTGAGGCAAGATAGAAAATATAAGTAGAAAGGAAACAAAAGAGTGAGGAAAAAAAACTGTATCTTTAACCCCAGAGCCTATGGGAAAGCTCCTCACACCTTTTATCCCCAGGCCAGTTTCTCCTCCACACCTGGAGCAAACTGAATCCAGCTAAGTAGGAAATGAATAATTACTGACAAATGTATGAATCTTAGAATTATTATAAATTCACTTGTCTATGAGAAGGGCCTCATTTTGATTAAGCTCAAGAGCATTGTTAGCTTACACAATGTATGTTCAGACTAAACAAAGGGAGATGTAATATTTTTAGAAACCTATAATCTAGGATACATTCCCAATGTTATCTACCAATCAGATAGAGGAGACAACATTGAACTAAGGGCCTGAGAAAGGCCAGGCTCCCATAAATGGCCTCACAACCACCAGGCTGAGGCCATTCCCACTGACCTTCCCATGCCCACTAGAGACCCCAAAGCTGCTTCTTACCCTCAACAGCACTGTATACGGCTCTGGAAACACATCTTCACTTTCACTTTCTTTTGGCTTTTGTTTTTCACTTTCCAACAAAGCACCCCCTCTTTGCCAAAACCTGACTGATTCTTAGATTCTTTTCTGTGATAGGTCAAGAGGCTGGAAAGTAGAATAGCGGTCTCCTCTTTCTTTGGACAGATTTCCTTGAGTCCCATTATGGTGACAGTGCAAATCATGTTAACTATTATTAGTGATATAGATTTGGAATTTAATCTATCCAATTCACAAAGAAGAGTAACATAACAGAATAGTGTTTTATTTGCATATAATATATATTCATACCTAACCAGTCTAAAAGGTACATGAATCCTGGATGATAGAATTTTCTTATTATATCCTATAGGAATAGATTGTAGAAACAGGGTCCTTAAAATACTGGAACAATGGCATGCTCACAGTGAATGTGCTTCTAAGGCAAACCTGCCCTCACCTCACTGGGTCAATCTGATTCTATGTTCCTTCCTCAGGCAAAGGTGTCTCTGAGTACAATGACCCAACAGAACCTTGGTCTTAAAAATTTCCATGTTTCAAGTCAAGACACATGCATTGCTTCTAAAAGATCCTAGCTTTCACTATCTACTAATTTGAGACGCTCTTGTGAGCTCTTACACAACAACCAGTAACAGCGGTGTTTGTATAGCATCCCTGGAGGACTGAGCCTGCCTTTGAAAGCTGCTTGGACACCCTGGAAGAGCCATACCTCCTTGCTTCCTGGTGGAAAGGCGGCGGGGAGGCTGCTCTGCCGGCTGTGCTTCCACTGACACTGCAGGCCCAGTTGGGCGCGCACGCTGTCTCTCTCCCTCTCCACCATCCTCTGGCCCTCCCTCAGCCGCTCCAGGTTTTGCTGGTACTCCTGGAGCTGATGGTCCAGCTCGCTGCGGTTCTTGAGCAGAAGCTCCTCCTGGGACTGGCACTCCCGTTCCCGCGCCTGCAGCCAGCTCTCCTTGGCCTCCTGCTCCCGCTGCTGCTGGTCACACCTGCGGTGCCAGCGCCGCTGTTCCTGCTGGAACTGGTGTTGGAGCTTGTGGATGTTAGCCAGCTCCTCACGCTGCTTCTCCAGGTTGCGGGACTTTTCCTGGTCTTGGAAGGAGCCGCCTCGCAAAGAGTGGCCGGGGGCCAGGCTCTCCTGCTGCAGAACCAGCTTGTGGATCTCGATGTGGCTATCCTGAATGGTCAAGGCGGCCTGTGGGGCAGCGGAGGACAAATGAATAAACAGGCTTGTGTCTTGTTTACCTCTTGGGTTGGAAGCATCCCTAAATACAAAATGTATAATCAAACTAATCAAACTATTTTCTCTTAATATTCTGCCCTTTTTCCAAATTACATGTAAAGACAGACTTTGGCATTTCAAATAGGTTTATCTTTAGTTCTTAATGACATCATCTGGGAAATTATATAGAGAAGAAATCTTATATAGAGAAAAAATCATATCATTTTTCCTTAGTGTCTGAGGGGATTGGTTCCAGGACTCCTTGTGGGTACCCAAGTCTGCAGATGCTCTAGCCTCTTACATAAAACGCCTTAGTGTTTGCACAAAACCTACGCACATCCTCCTGCATACTTTGAATCATCTCTAGATGACTCATAATTCCTAATACAATGCCCACATATCACTTCATGTGCACAAAGCCAGTGTAATACTCAGCAAGATGCAAACTCAAGTTTTGCTTTTTGGAACTTTATGAAATTTTTTCCCTACATTTTTCTATCCAATGTTGTTTGAATGAGAGGATGCAGAAAATGTGGTTACAGAAGGTTTATTGTACTCAACCCCCTTCTGTAAATGTCATTGGTTGCCAGCTGTTGGGTGATATTTAAGTAAGTCTTCTTAGTAAGAAAGAATACAGTACATAAACTTGTAAGACTCTACATTCCCATTCTAGAACTCATTCTCTTTCTGAGCTTCCCCAGTTAATAAATTAATAGTCACATTAATTTTAAAATCTATGTAAACCTAGTAGTATCTTTTRTTTGAATCCCAAACCAGAAATTACTTGAGTCACATAGGTTGCTTTCATAAAGACATAAAAATAAAAGTGAACTATTTGGAGAGATTTGATAAATATCTCTTTATAGCATAATGCTTAAGGATAGCAGTTAATGCTATTTTCAGGAGATACGTAAGTGGCTGAAGCTAGTCTGCTTACTGTTATGTCTTTGCATTCTCACAGGAAGGTCATGCATAAAACACTGAGCTGAAATTCATTTGTTTAATAGATTGCTAACAGGAGGCTGGAATGATTAAGAGAAAATAGACACTCTAAATCCCAGAGGACATTACCAAATAGATTTAAAAAAACATTTTGAGTTATGGTATCTGCCTATGAAAAGTTTGGCAACATCACAGAAAATAATTGCCAAGATTTGGATAGATACCACTAAGCCAAAAAAATTATCTGTGAATGTCCTTGGAAGCTTTTCATTTTGAAAGTTCCATTTAAAGTGCAAAGATGTACAGAAGGGACAAATTGAAAATGGACACATACTGGGTATCTGGGTATGTGTGTGTTTTGACTCATATGAGAAATCATTACTCTCTTAGGAATAAATTCACATTTTTCCTTTCTAAGAATTTTTTAAACAGTCCATGTAACATATGCTGGGAAGATGGGGGTTTGGATATTATTAGTTCTTTGTTAGTTCAGCAGTTTTCTATATTTTTGAAAGTTAGAGAACTAAAATATATTTTAAATGTGTACCCGTTTTAGAGTAAGACTCAAAAAGATATTCCCTTGGGGCTTTTTGAAATGAAATTCATATTTTTAGATTTTAGAATTATTTTTAAAATTTCAGGCTTGTTTGACTATTTGGTTAATGACCTTTAACAGCTGTTATAAAGAGAACAATGATTATCATTGAGAATAGATGCTAATTACTATGCTCTTTAAATATGAAATAATTAGCACATAATAAACCACTCAGGACTCGCTGACCTGGCAGAACACGGGCAATGATATCTCTCATGTAAGGATTACCATTAGAATAATTCAGCATGACTATGAAGACCWCTTTGTGTCTACTTATCATTTGGGATAAGATTATTTTCTTCCCTAACACAGAGGTGGAATTCAAAGATTGGATATTCATTTCCCAAATTAAAGTTTGCACTTATATTTAGGAGAGAACAGTACTTTTTTAGGAATCCGCACGCAATCCATTCTCTCTTCACTTACATTGCCAGAATATCTGTGCCTTTTCCTTTTTGACTCATTCTACCTATTCTCTGACCCTGTTCTCAAATGACCAAATTTCATTTTCATCTCATTCAGACACACTTATGTAAAAACATTAAGCATGGATAAGAAATTCAGYTTCTAAAGAGATGACTGTACCATGAACGAAAATCTTTCAGAGACCATATCTTTAGAGCAGCCCAAAAGCTTTAGCCTGTTTGAAAAAGTCTACTGCAGACTTTGGTGTTTCCCAAGTGGCTTCAACCTAATGCATTGCAAAAATGAGGTCATTTAGGTCACAGGGCATTTTGAACCTTGAATCCACAAGGGGCTACATTCAGAGTTGAATAGAAGAGAGATGAACTTGTATTTTACCAGGTAACASAACCCAGGATGCTCAAGTTTTTTTATTCCTTAAGAGATAATACATTACATTCAAACTCTATCTCTTCTTTGTTGACATTTAAAAGAAAGCATATTTTAAACATATTTGTTTTACATGATAAATTCATCTCTAAGAACTCCTATTCCAGACCAGCATCTCTGATGCTTTAAGACACTAAAGGCAATCCCACAAACTGTGAATAAGGAACTTACTATCACCACTGTTAATTAATAGACTTTCAGAAGTTTCATCTGAAGCAATAAATCAAGAAAATRAAATTGATAGGACTATTAAAGAACAGTTAAATAACTAATATTTTCAAATTTTTATTTTCTACCTGGGATATACTTTAAAGAATCAATGGGAAAACTATTAAAATAAAGAAGTTAATTGAGTAGACCAGTTAAAAAATAAATACACAAATATCCTTTACTTACAACCATTAGGGATACATATATTCACCTATATGAAGATATTCTAAAGCTTTGTAACAGAACATAAAATAAGAGATAACTGGCCCATGTTCTTAGACAAGAGGACTGGTTATGGCAGAAGTTCCAATTCTCTCCAATTTAATTCATAAATAAAATAAAATTTTGATTTTGTGGCCTTGGTAGGAAATAATTGACAGAGTGATTCAAAAGTTCTGGTAAAAGTATGTGTAAATATATGAAAAAATAAGARGAGACTAGCACTGTCATATATTCAAATGTGATCCAAAGCTTTATTCATTAATTAATGTGATAATAATAAAGTCTTGATGTAGTTGGGTTGAAGTATAAATAAGGAAACAGCAAATGCAGTATGACTTAACATTTTTTGGTGACAAATTAGACTTAATATTCTTTTAACATTCAAAAGGTATACAAATATGAAATATGAATGAATAATAAACCAGGAAGGGTTAAGAAGTTTAGTCTCACTAGTAATCACAGAAATGCAAATTAAAATAATCAGATTCTTGACCCATTTTCAAATTGAAGAGAGAAAGAAAGAAAGAGAAAGAGAAGGTTGATTGCTTTATTTGGGCAATGTTTATTTAAAACCTTAAAAAAAAAAGAAAAGAAAGAAAGAAAATAGTTCTAGTAATTTATTCTGAAGAAGAAACATTTAGATATGGCTATAGAGATCAGCGTACAAGGATGTCCACATTTTGTGCTATTAATAATAAAAAAGTGTAGCTAATTGGTGATTGGATAAATTTCATAGACTTGAATATTACATATTCATTGAAAATCATGCTGTTGCAGGATAGAGGATGGCACAGACAGGTGTTGCTAACATACATACAAAAAGCAATCCAGAATCGGGAGGCATATGCACTAGCATGATGGTGGTGAGTCCTCTCCACAGAATCACAAGCCATTTCTTTTATCTATTTGTATTTCCAAATTTCTTCAAATCGTTTTACTAGATAAACATTGCTTTTATAGCATTAAAATTTTGTTAATCAGTAAACTAAGCAACTGGGTGCCCTGAGCCTCTTTTCTGTGCATGACCTGAGGGATCCCTCAGCACTCTAATCCTCAATTCAGACATATTATATGCTTATTTTTCCTTGAAAAAGAATAAGACCTTTGAGACTAGGTCTTGTGGTCCTTTTGCTTTTGTGGACTTAACCCTCAGCATAGTGTCCAGCACAGACAGAGCAGGTACTCAAAAAATGTTAAGCGATGGAGAAGGGGGGAAAAAAAAACCCGAAAGAGTGGATGAATTATTTAACTGCTCTTAAGACCTAAGGCCACATGTGGAAGTGAAAAAGTTTAGGTGTGAATTTAAGTTTTCACCAGAAAATGTGAAGTCATGCTACACTCACCTAAGAGCTTCATTGTAAATGTCAAGCCAGAACATATTCATCACTATTTTCTAAAGATATGAACTGTTTTATGGTTTCTAAGAAGAATGGTATAAAATGTAGTAGTGGTGTTGCCTCATGATTACAAAACCAGGTGAAGTTCAGCTCATCTGGCTGGCTTACTCTTAGGGGGTTGGTATTCTTCTGAGATCACTTACTACCTCTCAAGATATTCTAATTTCTAAAGTCTGGGAATCATCAAAGTGAATTGCATTAAGAGAAACATTCACAAGGTCAAAGATTAGCAGAAGGTTGTTACCTGAAGGCTATATAAAAGACGAGTTAAATTCTGTATAGCTTGTATAATCTGAAAAATAAGAKGGTATATATCAAATTCTTGAAAAACCTTTCATTAGCTACAAATMAAAAAAAAAAGCATAGTGATATATTTAAAGCATACATAGCTCACCTCTGATTGTGAAGATTCTGAAAAACTTCTATATTCCACCTACAATACATAAAAACATAAGAAAATGAATAGCCACTCTACAATTTGAAAAAGCTGTTTTAAAATGCATGACCTGCATCCTCTCTAAACTCAGTTACCTCATCTATAGTGACTCTGAATCCTTCTAGGATGAAAAACCTATAGAAACCCCCACTTGAAAGCAAGAGACTCCCTCATGCAAACTTGGTGTTAGGGATGCATGGCAAGTTTTACCAAGCTAGGTCTTAAAACAAGGGAGGACTGAGAGGAAGCCTTGCAAGGGACACATGTTTACTGCATGCAGACCACATTATAAACTGAGCACTCTGCCCAGGTTGAAGTTGTCTCCTGAGTCAGACTGACCCCTTACATCCTCGAGGCCAGATTTAGAAGATAGAGAACATTGTATCAGGCCTCCAGTTCCCTGCCTCACTGGCCAAAATAGTCACTGGTTAGACTAAGAAAACTGGTCTCYCCCAGAGCCTGCCTCAATTAGACTTCACTGGGCCAGTGCAAAGACTATAAGTGAGGCCACAGGAGACCATCTGCTCCTTGGGAAGTAGGTCTATGCTTCATTCTTTGTCCTGCCCACAGCACACATTAACGGAACATGTGGATACTGAGGGTTTCCAGTTTCCAGAATTGAATTAAACTTTTGTTTATTTACCTATTGTCTGTCTTCTCACACTAGTACATAAACCAGTGAATAGCAGGACTTTGTGTATTCAATATTATATCTGCAAACCTAAGATGATGTCTGGCATGCAATGAAAACTTGAATTTGATTGCGCTCTACTCAATAAGTACTGATCACTCACTATCAACACTATGCTTTATCCTATGGGAGATCATTGGACTCCCTGTTCTCCAAGAGCCTACAGTCTCCAATATGCTGCTTGTTTTCATCTGAGCAGATCTAATTTCAAGTGTAAAAAACAGTCAGCCATGGTAATGTTTTCAGGTAACTTTCAGCTTGTTAAATGTAATCATTTCAGGTTGATGATGAGCTAACCAGATCTTCTCTTCCCCCATATGGCAAATTAAAAATTTCATTACTGAGAAGCCCCTCCAATAGAGAAAAGACAAAGCCTGAATAAAGGAGATGAGATTTAAAAGGCATTAGATCTCTGCTCAACCCTTTGGAAGATAACAAGGACTAAGAATCCCCATTCTTTAGTGAGTTTTGGAGTTCTTGCTTTTCTACTAGTCTGTTCTTGCCCATCAACATTTTATTATTTTGAAATAAAATATGGTATAGAATTTTTATACTCTAAAAATTAAACACATAGAAATGAGTTGCTTTGTGCTACCCAAGAACCACCATTACTAGTGAGAAAGGAAAATGCACATAATCCTTTTAATGGAGTTGGTCCGCCACCTTGTGGTTCAAGAGGATAACTGCAATTGGTGATTAACAGGATTTCTGCCATTGGGTTTTTGGAGGTGGGGGGGTTGTTTTTTAATTCTTTCAGTAGTAATGTTTTAATCTTACCTTATTAAGTGAGCTAATGGGAAACTATCCATTATACAATTTTTAAGAGTGTGATTTCAAGTGGAACCTTAGCTTAGTTTCTCAAAATGCCTTATTAAGTGCCAAATTTTCTACATAGGTTAATACAAAGAAGAACCTGGACACTTAATCTCGATTATCCTCCTGTAACTAAATCACAGGTGGGAGCTGTGATGGCTTTTCATTTGAGAGTAAACTATCACTGACCAACTCGTCCTACCTCCAACCCTCTCTCCTTCCTTCCTGATAACATGAAAACAGTTAAAAGCTACAAACCAGATTTAAAAGTGAAGTCTGTACTGAGAAGGATGAAAAGCAGAAACATTTTAAGACACATAAGTTAGAAAGTTTACAATCAGAAAACATAAAACATTGCATTCTTATATTCATTTTGTCACATTCACTTTTCTTATAAAGTTTTAAAATGATTTTAAATTAGTTGTCTTTTCTATTTTTTTTTTTTTTTACATCTTTGAACTTGGTCTCCTAGCCATATGTAATACATACATCATATATAAAATGCTACATTTAAACATATAGATGACATACAGGTTTATGTTCTTTCCTACACTGGCACATGCTGATACTTGATAATGGACCTAATTCAGTGTCAGACAAAACCAAATTCTTGAGCCCTCAAGCCCTCCTAAGGAGGACAACTTGGCATCTCCCGGAATCGTAGTTTTATTCTTTTAATATATGAGACATTTCAATTTCATTTGAAGTTAATGGGAAGTTGTATGTATTTAATTTCTAAAGAGAGAGTTATAACCTATGTATAGTAGAAGTCATAGAAGGAGCAGCAGCATTTGGAACCACTTTATCACAAATGAAAAATTGGTCAGGTGAATTAAAAATCTACCAAGAGTAGGTGAAATGTGGGCAGTGACAGGGAAAAAAAATTGGAAAAGCGGAGAAAGTCAAGGAAGGTAAAAGCAGCAAGAATATTCCAAAGTAGAAATTATCTCAGCTACGTGAGCACCATCCGGTTGCATAAGGGCCCCGATGCTCAGGACCACCTCAGCCAGATGGTTGCCAAAAGCAGTGTGTGGAAAGCAAGGTTTGCAGCGCGGAAAGTGAGCCCAGAGGTCAGAGCACAGACACACATACAGACGTGAGAGTTTTCAACCTTCTTTAATAACTTTTTCACTTTTCTTTTGTTTACACCTACATGATATAGGAAGAACAAGAACATTGAAAGAAGAAATAAGTTAGAAAGTTTAAATAGGAATATTGAGAACAATTCAGAAAAGCACTTTCATTCCACTCACTGCCATTGACAGGGCAGGACCTGAGGCTATTTTATTGGTACAAAGCAACCCAAGTCATTTACTAACAAATCAGTTAACAATACCTTCTCCCCTGCATCAGAGACCTCCAAGTCGGTTACCACACCCTGGATCCCGGGATCCACATCCCAACAGCCTCTTCCTTCTGTCCCTTCTGTGTCTAGTGCTGGGAGCACGCCATTGAGACAGAAACAAAAAGGACAAACATCAGCCACCCGATTGGGTTCATCCACACACAGCTGACCCACCCTTCCAAATAAGGAACGAGGACAATTGATACATCTGGAATGTTCTCATAGGAGGCACCAAAGCAGCACAGAGCAAAGCACACAGTCCCTGCCCACAGGGGGCTTACACACTAACACAAGTCATATTGACACAGGGCATGAATGAGCACTCATCTTTTCACATTTACTTCTTTCTCATGCAGACGTGCCCATGTGTTGTTTGTGGTCTAGGAAATATAGATTCTATGTATCACATTCACTTAGTAGGAAAAAGCCTACTGGGGAGGGTGAAATTTAAACCAGGCACAATTGAATGAAAGCAAGGTCTCAGGGCAGACCCAGGTCTGTAAGAAGGCCCCCCTGCCCAGTACGAGAGCGGCAGCCCATAAGCAAGGTTTAGAAGGAAAGAGCAGACCAGCAGTTGTCACCTTTCTAAGAAGGCTGAAGATGGCTAAGGCTTCATGGTTTCAGGGTCACATAAACTGAGACCCTGTCCCAGTTTCTCATAATTTCCAATTTTTTTTCTCACACTTCCTACTAATACTCTAAATTTGCAAATACTGTAATTACTGTATATTTAACCTACGAAAACATAGGGATTAGTCGAGAAATATTTTTAAGTACCAAATACAAATTTCACTTCCAATAAATCTCCATTGGCATGAATTTATTTCTTTATTTACCATGTGAACTCAGTTAAAATATATACCATGCTCACCTTGCACTGATTAAAGCTAGACCCTTTGAGGCCMTTTCACACATAGTATTTCAATGAAACAATGTCTAATCAGGACGCTAATGAAAAAGATATTCACTTCGTGGTGCTGTTTATACAATTCTTTATTTGATGATATCTCAAAACTTTATTTCTAGTTTGGGAAATGCTTTTTCTTTTTGTTTAAATTAGCAAAAAAAAAATGCTTATATCTTTGGAAAAGTAGAGTTGTCTAAGACTCTAAAGGCCTCTTGTAAAAAAAGACTTTTGATCTCAGCAGAAATTACTTTAAATGATATCAAGTAGAAACCAAGTTCATTGTCTATGCCTATAGTGAAAGGACATTGTATAGAGACTCTTCTGTCACTCAAAAAGTAGTTCCATTGGATACCATTCCTTTAAAAAAAAAAATGTCTTAAAGAGATGTCAAAAGGCATTAGCAAAGAATTAACTATTCTCTTTCTCTTCCCCAACTCTTCACAGAAATAAGGGCAACCAAATGTGGAAAGAAGGCAGTGATGGGCCAAATAAAGGCAGATTTCTGGAATTTGGATCAGGTTGCCCCTCTCCATAGTCAATTTCAGGGCAAGTGAGAGGGTTTCCAGTGGACAGAAACTGACAGAAGTAGATTTCACTCGTTCACCTGATGAAGTATACTGAATCCTAAAAATAGAGTTTTGTTTGGCTTATAACCTCAGGCTGACATGAGCTTGATTTGGAAGAACCCAGTCCTCAAAGTCAATCACAGAACTGACCCATTTTAGTGGAGGCTTTCATTTAGGAATAATCTTTTGCCTTTAGTGACCTTATAAAGAAAATCTAATTTTTATAGCATCATGGTCCAATTCAGCCCAGAACCAATAAGCTCTTTGGGTTCAGGACCCTGCCCCCTGAACCTGCATCTCCTCTATGTGAATCCTGGTATCAGACTGTTCTGGTTCTAGCAAATGCCACAGTTATCCCTACAGAGTTGTGGGAGATGTGGACACAGATGGGGAGAGCCTCCATTGCCTGGCCCAAAGGGAGGGATCTGGCCACGTGCTCTGAGCAGCTGCAGAGGCGGAGTGGAGCCTCTTCAGCTGTCCCTGGGCTGAGGCTGAAAGCAGCAGATCCCTACATGTATTTTTAGATAGAACTTCCTCAATGGCATAATGAGGTTCTTCTTTTAAAAGGAAATCACCCAGGGCAGTACAACTCCCCTGATGAATCTGAGCTGTGTTGAAATGAAAAACACATGTGCACACTCTGAAAATAGAGACCCAGGATTAGATAAAGCAGAACTGGAGAGGGGAAAATAATTATTGGTGCTCACAAAAAAAATGTCTAGAATTAAAAAGCTATACTGCTTCAATATATCTTAATTAACCAGGGGATGTTGTTAAAGAAAGTCTAAAACAATTTAATCCTCCAGTCTCTCGCTACTAAAGATGGTTTATCACATGTACATAAGACATTTCTTTGGAAGTAAAGTTTTTACCACCTGTATGTGCTGAAAGATAGACTTTATACTCTCATCTTTGAGTCCTCTATGGAATTAACTATTCAGTTTAAAAATAACACATATAACAACATAATTAGGTTTATATTACCTATATTACCTAAGCTAATTCTCTATATTCTGTTTTTCTGTACTTAAAATATACTGAAATGGTGTTTCAATAAATAAATTTTGACCTGAATTAAAGTATATGATAACACAAATGAAGACTCTTTTGGCAATTCTACCTTTGCACACACCAAACTCTGTGTGTGTGTGTGTGTGTGTGTGTGTGTG